AAAAAAAAAAAAAAAAAAAAAAAAAACCCGGCTTTCTGGCCAGGCAGGGTGCCCGAACTGCATTTCCAAACTGTATCTTGGCCCATAGTGCAATCATAACTCATTTTTGCGGCTCCCGCGTAGTTACCCCTGTTTTTATTTTTCTATTTTTTTAAACCACCAGTACGCTTCTCAGCTATTGATGCCAAGCCTTTTTTTTTTTTTTTTTTGATGAAGAACTAAAAAATTGAATACTATGCTATATCAGCCATTCCAGCTTCCTAAACATAGAGCAACTCCTAGCCCTCCCTTTACCGGGACATTACTACTCAAAGACAGTACTGACCAGACCAACATCATCCATAGCTGACCTCTTCTCACCACCAAGACTATCCCCGACCCCATAGGGTGTCAAGGCGGTCCCCCACAATTCGCCACTGGCTTACCTTCCTCCCTCGGCAAACCCCAGATCTCTCTACAAGGCCTCACACTCCTGCTGTTGCAGGTACAGGGTAACACCCCAGCTCCGGCCAACGTCGTTCTGGCATCGGCAAACTGAGGGCACAGAAAAGAGCAACTCTGACGGTGTCAGTCCAGGTATAACATCTCTAAAATCGAATATCCTAATGAAGAAGAAGACCAGATGCTGCCCTAGCTTTTAGAGCCCCGGAAAGCTTAATATAACATATTTTGTCTAAGAAGCTTCCAAGAGTCACTGCGCAGAAAAAAATCCCCTGCCCACGAACCCTGTCCCATGCTGCCACCGTCGATGAAACCCACCTCGGCCCCAACCTGGAACAGACCCCCTCCTTCCCCCCCATCCGCAAAGGCAGCCAATTCCCTCCTAGAGGATACCTTCGCCCTCCCCTTGTCCCTATCTGCCCCCGCCGGGGTTGAAGGCGACCAACTCTCCCACCCCGGCCCCAGACAAGGACAAAACCACAAATCTGCCCCACCCCCGACAGGGCTGCCACCTCCAACCTTGCGGCGCCCCTGTAAAGTAAGGCTCCCCAATACCAACCCCCACCCTTCCCCCAAGAGTCCGAACCGTGACCACAGAAGCCCTATCCCGACTGAAGCACACCCATCAAATGAAACGGCCAATTAACCTAGAGAAAGATCTTATGAGCAGTGTATAGTTGAGTAAGGTTTTGTGGTGGAAATCCCAGGATGAAAACACTCAAGAGAGTGAACATGAGAAACAGAAGATCATGATAAACGTGGCAGAAGAAATTCTAATTGCAGAGAAGAACAGTGCCCTAAAACATAGGGCTATAGGGAGAATATTGGCGAGCAACTCACCTGCAAATGATGTCAGTAATAACCCCCTAATTAGCGATTGGATTAATGATAATTTTTATAAGGATGATGGTGATAATGATGATAGTACTTTCGATGATAATGCTACCGATGGTGATGACGATGATGATATTGATGTCTTGTGATTGGATGGGTGACCGAGAACAGTACCCTAAGACTAGAGATTTTAAAGATGATATTGGCGAGCAGACTCGCCTGCAGATGATATCAGTGATATCCCACTAATGAGGTCCTGCGGGCCAATTTTTGCTGAGCCTGATAGAAGCGGGTACCAGGACCTGAAAAACTAGGGCCGTACCTGTCCTGCCCTGTGATACCTGTGCTGGTACCCGAAAAACTAGGGCCGTACCTGTCCTGCCCTGTGATACCTGTCTGCTGGACCTCTGGCCAGCGGACGGAATGACAGGCAATGGATTGCTCCCTGCCTCTCACAGGGAGTCACATGAGAAACAGGCTGGACGAGATTCTTAAGAGAAAACAAAGGCAGAAAGTCGTAGTTGGGCCGTTTTCAGCATCTCAGGGCCTCACTTCACTGCACTGCAAATGTGCACAGTGTGACTGAATCCTCTTCTAGAACACATGGAAAGAAACCGGGATAGTGGCCTTGCATGAGGGCTTTTCTCAGGCGAAAAAAAAAAAAAGAACATGGGAAGTCCAGGAAAGATACATTGCCATATTTTGTGTCTTTTGTGCATGTGGAGAGTACTGGAGCTGAGGAGCGGGACCCCGAGGGCCTTGCTCCACTACTCCTCAGGTGCACAAAAGACAAAAATAACATGGCAGTGTATCTTTCCATGTTCTAGCGAAGGATTGAGTGGGCACACCTCACAGCGCTCGTTTCTCGTGGGCGGCTGCTGCTTGCCGGTTTGTTTTTGTCTTTTCTTTTCGTACGTTAGTAAGGGTCTCGCCACACGGCACAAGAAACGAAAACGAAACCAATGCATCTGCCCACCAAATGTGGCAAAATACAGTTGTTACTATTTATAGCAAACTGATGAACCTGGCCATCTTCTGCAGGAAGACACATTCGTTTCGTTTTTTGTTTTGTGTGCCGTGCAGCCAGGCCCTAAGCCCTGCCAACAAGGCAGGGCAGTTCCGTCTCGTTTTTCTGCGCACCTGTAATTATGGGCGTCCCCGCACGGGACACGAAACGAAAAACGAAACGAGTGCATCTTCCTGCAGAAAATGGCCATCGGTTTGCTATAAATAGTAACGACTGTATTTCGCCAGCTTTCGTGGGAAGATGCACTCGTTTCATTTTCGTTTCGTGTGCCGTGTGGCCAGACCCTGTAACTGCCCTCAAAAAGAGCGCAGATGCTGTGAGGGAAACCGAAGAGGAAAGCCAAAAGAGAAGAGCAGGTGCCCGTTGAAGCAGGTGCCTGCCTCATTTTCTTTGAGACTTCTCTGTCCCCAGAAAAGAGGCATGTGCCTGTTTCAACGGGCGCCACCTCTTCTCTTCTCTGGCCTGCCGCAATCTGGTGGCCAATCTTTTCTTCTTGCTTTTTTTTTTTTTTTTTTTTTTTTGTTTGGAAAGCTTCAAATGTATTGCACAAAATGGGGCGAGGCCGGGGACCTCACAATTCGACCCGGAGTTATCCTGGCAGCCTCAGCCAGTTTTGCCTAGGAGCCAAGCTCGAGAACCCCCAGGTACTCAAAGTTCATAACATCTATCTGCTGGAAACCCCCAGGTCCAGCTTCCCATTCTAACACAAAAGACTTTCCAAAATTAAACCTTGAAGCACAATTAAAAGGGACTGCATTCGCAGTCAAGCAATGCTATTATAATAAGAAAATTCTTCCTGACTACCATAAAGCTCCATAGCATAAAAACAATACAATAAAATAAAGCCCAGATTTATCTATATCTGCCCTGCCTATTTATCCGATTTCACTCAATCTGTACCATCGGCCTAAAGCGGACCGCTTTTAGGGCGGCTTAAGCCAATGGGAGATAACCAATTTCTTATCCTGCGATACTGCTGCCAGTTGATTACCCTTTGCCCATGTCCTCAGAAACCACAAGAACCCCTTTTTCCTGCTTCTGAAACTCGTCTGCAAGTCCTCAGAAACCACGAGAACCCCCTTTTCCTGCTTCATGTATCAATTTTAATAAGGATTCTGCTCATTATGCTTCATGCAAAAATGCACGGCTAGAAAATAACAAGGTTATTTCGACGAAAGTTGAACGAACGCCCGATACTGCGGAGGCTGAACCAACGGAGGAGCAACTCTCTCGAAAAAAGAGATCTCAGCCGGGCCGTTCAGCACAGAAAACCTTGCTGTTGTCAGCCCCAATGGTCACTCTGCAAAGAGCAGACCTGAACACGGAGGGTATAAAGGAATATCTAGTTCCATTGACATGTTCAGACTCTCCACAGGGCTTAATGGTTTTCACTCAGCGTTCGCACGGCGCTCAACTGAACATACCAATGATTGCAGTAAATGTGACCCCCTCAGAGGAACAAGTTTTGGAACTAACGAAAAGACCACCAATGATTGCAGTAAATGCGACCCCCTCAGAGGAATAAGTTTTGGAACTAACGAAAAACCAGGTCTTTAACGGAATTGGTTTATGTGCAATCATACCTTTTCCAAAAATGGGCCGACATATTGTTTCCCTGCCGGGTAGAAGCAAAATACTACTGCACATTGTTTTTCTGGGCATCTCTTCTGTTTCCATGGACACAGAAGTATGGTGTTCAAATTTGGGACTGTGGTACCCACTACAGGACTTCATAACCCCCATTGCGGAGGCACTATCTAACATACGTCTATCCCCGGAAGTGTCTGCAACAACCATCCACGACTGGCTGGTCAGAAGGGACGCAATCCAAATGATCTTAGGACAAAAGTTCCGTCGTTAATTAACACGACCGGCTTCCCTCCTGAAATTCAGAAGGTCATTGCCGATACTTTGGCCAACCAAAGCGAACCAGCCAACAAGGAGAACCGCATCCAAAGGACGAGCGGCACAGACCAGTCAAATGGTCCTGCCCAAAAAGGTTCGAATTGCTAGCTGGAACATCAAGGGATTAGGCGACACTTCCAATTGATACAAAAGACAGTGTTTGATTTCCTGGGTCCGTAAAGCATCAGTATAGATTCTAGGCCTCCAGGAGGCTAAACTGGACTTTAGCAAGGTACGAGGGGTGGTGGATTGGTGGAGGGGCCCGCTGCTTTGGGCCCCTGCAGATGGATCAAAGGGAGGTTCAGCCATCCTCATTCATGAGGACTTAGAATGTATTATTGGACTCCTACGTTGATCAAGGTGGGCGCTTTGTTTGGGTTAAACTGGGCATTGACGGTGAGGACTGGGGGGTAATGGCAGTTTATGCACCCACGAACTTCGTAGACAGAACTCAATTTTTTGCATCTCTACCATCCTTTATACCAGACACAGATAACCTGGTTATGTTAGGGGATTGGAATACAATTCTGAATCCTGGTTTAGATTCCCCGACGTGTTTACTGCTCAGAGCGGACTTAACGCTCCTGACTACGCTCTTTGACTCTCAGAGTTTAGTCGACACATTCAGATGCTTCCATCCAGAACAAAATGGATACACCTGGCATGGCCCAAGACCAAACCCCAGGGCCCCGATCCCCCGGAGGAGATTAGATTATATAGTGGCTAGGGGCACTCTATGGGACAGGTGTTATGCCTCGGACTTTCAGGTTTCCTTTCTTTCTGACCATTACCCAATCTTCACTGATATAATCTCGAAGGATTTGGTCTCCAAAGAAAGACCTCCCTTTAGGTTGAATGTTAGTAACCTAAAGGAGCCACTACATAATAGAGTTCGTTATCCTCATTCGTTCCGACTTTTATCTCCTGAGCCGGCCTCGGAGGTGCGAGCCTCCTGTTGCTCGGTAAGTGTTTTTCCACGCGCATCTCGGCAACGCTACCCTTGGTTGATTTACTCCATAATGAATACAGGAAGGAGACCGGACGCCCACTGGGATTCAACCTAAAGGATAAAGGTATCCCCCAATGGGTAACCACTCAGATGGAGCGTTGGATGGAGGCTAAAGACCGCTTTGAAGACGAAGACACGTGGGCAGACATTGGTATTAATATAGTCAGGGAAGCACTGCTAGAGTAAGAATGAAAACGGCCCATAGAACATGGGAGGAGACGAAACTGCAGAACCTGGTATTGGAGGCTGAGGCTAAGATGGGAACTGACCCCTTTACAAACTATTATTTGACAGAAAAAAAGAAATTGGCCTTGACCCACCTGGAAGAAATTGAAGTAAGGAAGCAGGCCGAAAGACTTGAGAGACTAAGGCTCAGAGGAATAATAGGGTATGATAGGATGGCCAAATTGACCTTTCGCTCTCTGATCCTTCGACAGACAAAACCCCTGATAAGGGAGCTATCCCATCCCTTTGCACTGATTCCTCCAGTGGCCACGGGAACGGTGGATATGTGTCGCTATGCCCTGGATTACTTTAGGGACATAGTTTTGACCAGATGCCCATTTGATGAGTTTGAGACTGATCTTTCGGAAGTATCCAGCTTCTGGGACAGATCCAAAGTGGTATTGGACAAACCTATAAGCGACCAACTTGACAAACCAATGACAGAAGGGGAGCTTCATAAGGCAGTCAGGAAAATGGCCTCGCTGCCGCGGGCAAGTGCCCAGGGTTAGATGGCCTCCCTGTTGAGTTGTTTGTGTTAACCTGGGAAGCTTGGGCGTCGTTCTTATGCGATATTTATAATAGGGCACTGGTCACGGGTTCACTTCCTAAGGGATTTGTAAAGGGGATGATATCCCTTCTGTACAAAAAAGGGGATAAAAAGGATGTAAGGAATTACAGGCCTATCTATAATCTCAGTGCTCAATATTGCCTATAAAATCCTAGCTAAAGCCCTAGCATCTCGCCTGGCGGCCTTTCTCCCAGAGTTAGTAGGATCGGAACAAGGGGCATTCGTCAAAGGATGATCAATATTTGAGAATATTTTAACTACGGTGAAGGACTTGGAGATCATAGGCAGAGAGAAAAGGGAGGTGGTGGTTTTGCTTCTCGATATGGAAAAAGCGTATTTTAAGGTGGGGTGAGCCTTTGTGTCCACCACCTTGAGCAAGATGGGGTTTGGGAAAGGGTTCTGCACATAGGTCAAAGCAATGTATTCACATGCCACTTCCTCAATGATGGTAAATTGGAGGCTCTCGGAGGACTTCCGTCTTACCCGCTCCCTGAGGCAGGGCTGCCCGCTAGCTCCTTTATTGTTTGTTCTGCAGTTGGAAACCTTGTTAGATAATATCAGACATAACCCTAGGATAACAGGGCTCACACTCTCCCCATCATTAGAATAGAAGGGGGGAGCCATAGCAGATGATTTGACAATTGCGTGCAAAAACAGTTGAGATGCATTAGAGGAACTAAAACCAGTCTTAGATAGTTATGGAGTATTGTCTGAGGCATCGATAAACTGGCATAAATCGGTTTTCTTCCTACCTTCTCCATACACCTTCAAAGTTGACTGGGGTCTACGTCAGATTCCAACGCAAAACTTGGAACAGTTCCTTGGCATACAAGTATAGATAATACAAAAACCAGGTGTCGTGGACTTTACATATCACAGCAAAAACACCCGATGTCGCCGATGCAAAAACAACTCATCAGCGCTCCGCCCTGCTGTCCTGCTGCTCAGGCTAGAGAGTTCAAGCTCTCAAAATCGGATTTTGTCTGGCAAGGTTACGGCCCGAATAAGCAACTGGCAAAAGAACCATACCTTGTCCTTGTTTGGTAGGGCACTGGTGATATCATCTTCGGCCTTCTCTGCTTTATGATACCCACTTACTATCGTCAGGTTGGGGGATGAGGCCTACTCTCAGATTAAAAGATGTGCAGCGAAATATCTTTGGAAGCCAGGGGCTAAGGAGGAGGATGGGTTTATGGCAAAAGTAGCCCGGGAAGCTTTAGCTCTCCCACGTTCGGAAAAGGGTCTAGGAATCCTAGACCCCCGCCACCAGAACCTGGCAATGCTGGCCAAGTGGCCTATCTAGACCCCCGTATACAGACCCCTGGGTCGCTGCGCTAGCTTACACGACTTTCTTACGATGTACTTGGCCTGTTTCATTGCACTATTTTTCAGCCTTATGGTCGCGTTTCGGGAATTTCAAGGGACTTTCTTTGTCTCCTCCTTTTTCTGTCTACTCCTTCAGTCTTTATTCTCCCTCCTTGCTAGTTTCTCTGCTTGTCTGTCCGATCGCCTGAATGCATGGTTTACTTGTGTCTTCACCTGCAATTCGCGCTGTAACCGCCGTAACAATTAGATTACGGAAGTGTGGCTGCGTTAGATGAATGTTGAAGTGACTTAGTATCCTGACCTTTGTTACGTACCTTCTTCTATTTCTCTCCTTTTCTTCTTCTTCTTCCTTTTCTTCCCCTCTTTCTTCATCTTTTTTTTTTTTTTTTTTTTTTTTTTTTTTTTTTTTTTTTTCTTCTTCTTCTTCTTCCCGATGGCAGCTCCCCATGGGGCTTGCCTTAACTGTGGACAGCATGGGCATTGGTCCCGTGAGTGCCCTCATCCACAGACGTTAGGATATAGACCGTCGGTGGCTACGGGTGCGAATGCTGATCCTATTTTAACTATTCCGGCCGGTCCTCCGGCTTCTTACGCTCCAGCTCCTTGAACTGCTTCCAGCAAATATTAGACAAGTGCAATGATTTCGTCAGCAAGGCACAACAAAAGGAAAGGGAAGAGTTGGAGGCTAAGGAGAGGGAGAGGAGGAAGCGTGAGAAGGATGAAGAGGCGGAGCAACGGAGGAAAGAACGTGAGGAACTAGAGGACAAGATGGGGAAAAGATTGGAAAGTAAGTTGGCACCTATATACGATGTGATTATGGGGAAGGGCTTGGACAAGGCTAGTTCGAGTTCTGTGAATGACGAAGTGTGCCGACTTCGACGTGAAAATGAGGAGTTGCGCTCGAAGCATGGCGCGAAGGAGCAACTGCCTCCAACGGACTTGGTGGAACGTTTACAGCGGGAGAATCATGACCTCAAAAGATTGGAAGCTGACTTGAAACAGAAAATGGAAGGTGATCTGGCGGCTCTGCATTGGGAGATACGTGGTCTGAAGGAGTGTCGTGAAAATCTGGGACGTTCGGAGCTGGCTAAACAGATTGATGACCTTCGCGCGGAGATGGAAGTGTTGCGGAAGCGCAACGAAGAGACCGAAGAAGTCGCCCAGCTTTGGCGCAATGAGGCGCTGAGGCCTGGCAACAAACGAGGAAGTATAAACGTGTCAACTCCTGCTAGCGAAGGTCAGGATTTGACCAGATCGCGATTGGGAATTTCTGACGAAGCGGGTCGTCTCAGAGCTGAGCTCTCGGAGATTAAGGAACGGAGGAGGTGTGACCAAACGAAGGTCGATATGCTAAAAGAAAGGGGAGCAGAGGCTGAGGCAAAAAGGATGCAGGCCGAAGCTGAGTTGGCTCGATTGCAGAAGAAGATGAGTGACTTGACGACTGGGATGGCGGTTTGCAGCATGCCTAGCGGACTAGGAACTAACCTTAAGGAAAGAATGGAGGAGGCGGCCAAGATCGGCTTCCGTACGGGAAGGAAGGGCCTAAAGATGACCTGTGGTCGACTTCCTCGACCCGAAGGCAGCATGCGAAAGGCCAATGACAAGTTTGTTTTCCTTCAGGAGGAACGCAAGCGTTTACGAGCATTAAAGAAAGGCGGGGTGGAACCTCTGTGCAGAGAAGCGGGGATCCCATATCAGAATATGGAGGTCAGCGTTGAAGAACTAGCACAATTGAATATGAAGAAAGCTTTCGGGAACGACGATGTGGCGGAAAAGGAGACTGGTACCGCGGGACGTGGCAATGGGGTGTTGGAGGATAGTGATGAGGTGAGTGTGGAGGAGGTTTCGTCATACTCTACTTGATGGGACTTCCGAAACGCGGTGTTATGGGGTTTTGCTAGGGCTTGTCGTGATATTAGATCTCGCTGCACTTCTTCTTTACGTGACAATAAGCTCAATTCAGCCTTCCAAACTGTGGTTCTCATCTTGCTGCTCTGAGGTCTTATCCCATGGGCGGAGAAATTTCGTCCTTATCTGTTGTCATTGATTGAGGAGGGGGTTGACCTTTGCTCTTATAAGGGTCCGTTGGTCTAGTATGTTAATATCTCTCCTTGGCATAATCATGTTTACGTTGGTTCTATGAGTCGGTCTCTGGATGTGCGGTGGAGCGAGCATGTTTATCGGTCTTGTGATAAGGGGGTTATAGAGCGGGGGAAGAGGAATCGTAAATTATACAGTTGGCTTAGGAGGTGTGGTCCTGACAATTATGTTGCGCTTCCGTTATTTCGATGTGAGGATTGTGACTTGTTGGCTTTGGAGAAATTTGTCATTCAACGAACTACCCCTTTTCTGAAGTGTCGAGATAAACCTTCTCGTCACAAGTGATGTCGGTCTGGTAAGAAGGAGCGGGTCAGGAAAGTTCAACGCATGCACGTTGCGGAGGGTGTAGTCGATGTCAAGGAACGCAGAGTTCTCACGCATCTAATGTTTTCAACCAACGAGGGGCAAAGGTCTGCTAGCCTACTCAATTTGCTTCACCTAGCTCGGGAAAAGGGTAGGCAGGAGTTGACCGTGCATTGTGAAGGTGGTGATTTGCTTTTGGACAAATGGAAAGAAGTCAAACGCTGTTTTGGGGGGTCAATTGTTGAAACGAATTTTGGAACAGGATCCTTGAAGAAGCATCGTGGTTGGTTGGTAAACGGAGTGGCTTTAACCTTTCGATCAATCTCTTTCTTTTGCTCAGCACTATTGTTCCACAAACCTATCTTGCTGGGCTTACTCACTAATCCTCCGTCACGTGCACAACTTTTGACAAAGGATTTGGATGGCCTGGTTAGATTGTACGTTGGTATCAGGTGTTTCAAAGAAAAGAAATCCCGCTTTACCCTGCGTTGTTTGCTTTCGGGCGTTATTCAGCGAAAATTTGGGTTCAATGTGAGATCTCGATTGATCGTGCGCCTGGTTTATGATGAGTGTATTAGTAAACGTGTGGTCAGATCTCTGTGTTGTGATATCATTGGGGGTTTCGACTTGCCGGCTTCCCTGAGGGATATGACTTGCAGAAGGATGAGGGTGGTTTGGACAAAAAACAAGAGTGTTGGGGATTTCCTTTTCAATTTTCGGACCGTTAGTAGGCAGACTGATCAAGTGTGCTGCTGCCAAGACTCTGATGATCTGTTCCCTCGGTTTGATGGTCATGTCAACTTTCAGACATCGTGCGTGGACTTTATTCCCACCTTCCTGAAAAATTCTCGTAATATCCCTTGTCTATCACGTAATGGCAGCAAAGGAGGTTTGGTAAGGCAGATAGTCTCTTCTTTTAGTGGAACTGCCTTTCTGCCAAAGATTCAGGAAAGGGATTTTGATGCGGCTCCTTTGCTCTCTTGTTTTCAAAAAGATGAGAGCGGATGTTGGAGTAAGGGTGTATGCACGGATGAGGTTATGGGGTGGAACGCGATTTGGCAATCTAGTTAGATGCCCGATTGATCATAATGCAGGTGACATGCTTGTCTGTTGCCCGTCTGCGTACTGTGAAAGTCTGGATCGTCTGTTCTTGACCAATTCTGGGTTTTTGCACTGGGATAATGAAACTGAGGTGTTAATGTCCTGTAGAGCTAAGTACTTGGCCGAGAATTTTTCGACTTTGGGGAAACGGAATGTTTGTGGGAAATTGGGTGAGGCTTACACCATCCCGAAACACAAGGATGTGATGAGGTGGCGTCCGATTTGTCCAACTTTTTTGGAAGGTTGTGTTGTTGCAAGTAAGAGAATTGCAAGGGCAATCAATCAGCTGCTGTGGGACTTGCCGAAAGGCACAAATTTTAATCTAAAAAGTATGGTTTGTTTGACGCCAGCCTTGGAGTCCTTGAATGAGAACTTGCGTAAGGGGGAACGTTTTGTCTGCGCAGCTTTCGATATTAAGGAAATATTTTGCAATCTTCCGCATAGCTCGATTATGATGGCAGTAAGATGGGTTGTCGACTTCTGGTCTATTAGGGGTTGTTCCGGAGTTCTGATTAAAGCAAGGGGTGTGGGGGCTAAGTTAAACTTCGGTTACTCCCAGACCGGCTGGAAGTCTGTTCCGTTGAATGCTATTTTGGAATTTGTACAGTTTGAATTGGACAACACCTTTTTCAAAACATGTGGGCAAGTCTTGCAACAGGGAGTTGGCATCCCGATGGGCAAGTCGTCTAGCCCGACTCTGGCATGTCTGCTCTGCGCCTTTAATGAGTTCAATTTCCTGCTCTCGCTGGGCTCTGATAGGCGTATGATTGATGGGATCCGTATGGTGGACGACGTCTCTGTGTTGGTTCATTATAAAATAGGACAGGCATCTTCTCTGGCTGCAATTGAAGCTATTCTGGAAAAAAATCAAGAAGTGTTATGACTCTAACCTGGTCTTGGAACAGGAGAGCAGTAGTAATTGTTGGGATTTCTTGGGATGCGTTATGCAGGTGCTGGAGTGGCCTTGGGGTGTCCAAAGTGTGGCTTTGCATAAGAATCAAAGGAATTACCAAGATAAAGAGCTGCGCTTTCAAAGTATGCAGGATTTTGACTCGTACTGCAACAGGCAACAGAAAATGGCAGTTATCGRGTCATTTTTGCACAGGGCCAGGGCTTATACCACGTTGATTGGGTCTGAGGTGGGCTTTTTGTTCACCTGCTAAGTTTGCAAACGCGTGGGACGACTGGGTCAACACTCTGACTCGTTGGGATCGGCTGGTAAACGGGGGCCAAGCGAAGGGCATGGCCAACCGTTTTTACGGGCAGATGGCACTTCGGGGCGAAGTGGTGGGGAGTGTGCATAGGGCGTAGTGGAGTAAACTTTGGGGGGTTCTAGTTGAAAATACCGGTCTCTTTGGGTGTCGCACTCTGTTGTTAGTAGGGGCATTGGGGCTTGGTCCGATTTCTTTGGGCTGACTCCTTTTTTTTTTTTTTTTTTTTTTTTTTTTTTTTTTTTTTTTTTTTTCCTTTGTTTTTCCTTTTTTTTTTTCTTGTTTTGATCCTTCGTTTTGATTTTCTTTTCCTTTTTGATTTTCAAACTTTTCCCGAAAAATGGGTCTGTGTAAGGGACGAGATGGCACGTGTTGATTCGAGAAGTGGTGTTTTGAACTAGTGGCCCGACCACTGGGAAGGTGCTCAAGTGGTTGGGGCCGCGCTTATTCAGGGTTTTCGTCGGGTTCTTCGGAAGGTTATCTGGATGATTGTTCACTCGGTTTCTGGTCTCTTTTCTGGTTTGTAGTGGAGGCTTCTAGAATTCTCTTCTGCTTCTTCGGTTTTCTAATTGTCTATTTTAACACTATTTATTCTGCTACTCCTATTCCTTTCGTCCCTTCCTGGCGACTTGTGTACACAGACCCCTGGGTCGCTGCGCTAGCTTACACGACTTTCTTACGATGTACTTGGCTTGTTTCATTGCAATATTTTTCGGCTTTATGGTCGCGTTCGGGAATTTCAAGGGACTTTCTCTGTCTCCTCCTTTTTCTGTCTACTCCTTCAGCCTTCCGGTATGCATATACATTGCGATCTACACAACTATCAGACTGGGGGGGTCTAGTCACTGGGTGGGGTCTAGTATCTGCGGTAGGGACAGGTATGGGCCACCGGAGTTCCTACTGATATTCAGGTAGAACTGCCTAGTGGCTATATATAAGGCTTAGACGCTGGGGTAAGGGTAGGGGTATAAGTAGCTCAGGCCAGTCCGAGTTCCGTCTGGCCTTGGGTAAGTTAGGGGAAGGACGGTAAGACTGCTTCAATGGGTGCTACCCTGTCCGAAACCTAGGGCCCAGAGTCTCTTGGGGCCTGTAGTAGATTGTCTGGGCCTGGCGTCCGAAGTTCCCGTTTGACAAGGCTCGCCCGATTGCGCTTCCACCAAGGCTGGCCAACCTATCAGCCCTGGTGCCTATCACTGCTGTTTGGTCCAAGTTACCTGCCCATTGGTAGGGTAATGGTCCTGAGTGCTGGTCACACTGAGGTAGGATAGTGGGATAGGGGGTGCGCTAGGAGTATTGACGGGAGGATGGGATAGGAGGTGGTCTCATATTCCAAGACACCCACGGCCTACTGTTCCAGGTGATCACTGTGTACTCAGTGACTCCATCTATTAGTGGGGAGCAGCACTTGCTGGAAATGGGGTCCAGCTGGGTCTCAGTCAAAACCTTAAGTGGATATGCCCAACAGTTAACACAATCCGTGGGGAGTAGTTAACACCAGTACTTGGCCCAACTATGGATGCCGAGCCGGGATGCCCCCTGCACGCCAAGTTTTGCCGAGCTGTCGGGGCACCGTTTTGTTTTCACTTTGGCTGGCGCTTCCAACCATTGCGGTTCGGTGGCCCGAAGCCCGCAACTACCGGCGCGTTAACGTGAAACACCCGCGGCCAATAGCTGGGCTAAGTACTGGTGGTTTAAAGCAAATCAACAAAGGAAGAATTCAGCAAACAAGGAACATCAGTACACGTGGAGGGAAGAGGAAGAAAGAACAGGCAGGGAGGCCAACAACAACGGCCAACAGATATCCCAAACCCTCCTTGCAACAGCCTCCCTTCCTCCCCGGGCGTCCCACGGGAACAATTCCATACCATGCCACCCCTCACTGCGGCGCCCAGTCAACGTCTTCCCATGCACAGTGAAGCTTCCTAGCGATATAAAATAGCAGATCAAGCACGTCGTTTTCTTGGGGGGTAACTTCCACGCAGTCACGAAAACAGTTTGAAAATGCACTTCAGGCAATCCCGCGGACACAACACACCCCCACGTGACCCCACCGGACCCGAAACCTAGGTTATATAGTATATACATTCACCATTAGTACATTATCGACCCTTTTGCCTGGAGTGCATTTTCAAACTTAAACCCTAGTATTCTTTTTTTTTTTTTTTTTTTCCTTCCCCCCTTCTTT